AAAAAAAAAAAAAAGAACAGAGTGATGAAGAAAAGCTGTTTGGCCAACTGTTTTCTCAGCCACACTAAAGAAACTAATTATGTAAGCTACTTTAAATTCAGGAATGTAGAAAGTCTTTTTTAGAGCCCGGAGGTTACACAGCTAACCATAGGAAATGACAGGAGGAGAGGAAATGCATGTTTCCCTCCAATATCTTCTCCCATAATCAGACTGAAGATGGGGGAAAACATACTGTGGAAAGGCCAATCCATGCTTACAAAGCTCTCAATAAACATTTATTGAGAACCCAGTCCTAGAGACACGCCTTAGGAAGGTTGCGGGATATTAGCCTTTGACCATCTCTAAACTTTACCCCACCATGCATCAATCAACATGTGTCTGCAGGGCCTTGTAACTTGCCAGGGCCCGACTTGCTTTCTTCTTTCAAGATTCCATGCCTTTGCATTTATAAAGTGCTTAATATGTTCTAAGCACTATATATATGTACGGGTACATCCATGTGCATACATTAGTGATATATATTTCTATAACCAAGCATCATTATATATTTAATGTATAATAAATTCTATACTTAATAAATACATAAACTAAGCAACACATTATATCTTATGTAATAAACCATATAAAAGTATAATTATGTATGGATATATTCATGTGCATACAGTATTTTTTTAAGATTTATTTATTTTAGAGAGACAGAGTGGGGAGGGGCAGAGGGAAAGGGAGAGAGAAACCTTAGCAGACTCTGAGCAGCGACTGACTGTGCATACAGTATTGATATGTATTTCTATAACCAAGCATTATTATATATTTCTTTTTTTTTAAAGATTTTATATATTTATTTGAGAGAGAGAAAGAGAGGGAGAGCATGAGCAGAGGCAGAAGCAGAGGGAGAAGCAGACTCCCCACTAAGCAGGGAGCCCAATGCAGGGCTCAATCCCAGGACCCCGGGATCATGACCTGAAATGAAGGCAGACGCTTAACTGACTAAGCCACCCAGGTGCCCACCGTATACATTTCATATACATTTCAAATTTTATACTTAATAAATATATAAACTAAGTAACATATAATTTATATCTTATGTAATATACTATAAAAAGTATAATCAAATAATTACATCTAAATGTATTTAAAATATATGTATATGTAATATAATTACAGTATATATTATTATATGGCTATATTATATATAAGTAAAATTAAGTCATTTAATCATAAATGAGTTATCATAAACTCTCTTATGAGATATCATCTCCATTTTACAGATGAGTAGATCAAGGCCCGGAAGAGCTAAGTGATTTCACCAGGATGAAACAGATAGTAAGGGGCAGAGCTGACATTTAAACACCAAATAACCTAGCTTCAAATGCCAAGGCATTAACCACTATGTTCACTCTTCAACCTATTCAAAATCACCTACTTGTATGCAGCGGTCGCTGGCTTCCCCTGACAACAGTCTGTCTTTATTCTGTCTTCCTACCACACATTCCTGATTGATGCTTATCTCACCGTACGGTGGTTTCATTTCTCACATGTTTCTATCTCCTCTGCCCACTTCCTAACCCAACCCCTACCGCACCTCTACCCCACGTGGAGGTAACTGAGGGAAGAGCCTACTGTGTCTTATTCTTCTTTATATTCCTTGCACAAAGCACAGTGGCTGGTACACAGTGGACTTCAATAAACATTTACAAGAGGGATGAATGCAAGAACTTTAAAAAAAAAGTCAACAGAACTGTGGGCAGTGTATCTCTTGGCACTGGAGTAAGACATACAGAAGACATGCTTCCTGGAGCAGCTGAAGGAGTCAGCAGGGCACGTGGGACTAGACTGTCCTCAAGGCACCTGGGCTGCCCCGCTCGCATGAACCGGTCAGGTAGACCTTCGGGCTTAAGTTGGTTTCTAAATAGGTATACATTCATCCAGTAAATATAAACTATGCATTAGCTCTGTAATTAGGCATGCATAACCAGTATTCCTGATCTATAGGATTTTAGTTTATGGGGAGAGGGAGGAAGATAAGAAATCAAACAATTTAAATGCCTCAGTCCCAGTGAATACCATAGATAATTATCTTAGGGCTTCAGAGAAGGAGAAAGTCACTTGGGATAGTAACAGAAAGGAGGTGAGAGTTAAGGACCAGGCAGGTTTGGGGGAAGACAGCCAATTTGAAGTCATTCCAAGGACAAGCAAAAACACAGAGCCTCTTCCAACAAGAAATTAATACATTAACCAGCCTTCTGGATACTGGTCCATCAGTTGTTTACATTTCTCACTGTAAACTTCTAAATTAGTTTCTTATAAAATTCAAAATCCAATGTTTACTCTGTATTAGTAATCTTTCTAGGGCTTTGTGATTCCTAAATTATTGACATTTCAGAAACGCAGCATACCTAGAAGTGTAAAAAAAAACAAAACCCAAGACTATTCCTGCTGACTTTTCATTGCTGCAGCCCTAATTATTTGAGGATTATCTGAGACAGAAATATCCCTCCACAGAGGCTTAATTTATTGCTAAACATGTAATTCTGGAACAGTTTGGATGTTCCGACAGTTTTCTTTAAAAAAAAAAAAAGACTTTTTTTTTATTTGAGAGAGAGAACGTGCACGCGCACACATGAATGAGGGGGAGAGGTAGAGGGAGTGGGACAGAGGGAATCCCAAGCCGACTCTCTGCTGGACAAGAAGCCTGATGCAGGTCTCGATCCCATGACCCTGAGATCATGACCTGGGCCCTGAAATCAAGAGTCAGACGCTTAAATGACTGGCCCCCCCAACAGTTTTCTTTTTGAGTTCTCTCTCTCTCTTTCTCTCTGCCATTCCTCTCAGATTTTACATCTTCCTTTATCTTCTCAAAAGTTTTATTAGACCTCCTGTGGGGTCGGGGGTGGGGGGCCCAAAGCCATTGCCTCACTTAGAGCAACAACAGAGATTAATGTCTCTGTATTATTTAGTGTAATACTTCAATCAAAGCTTATAAATATCAGAACAATAAAAAGCTTTGGACAAGAAGTAAAAGGGACACAAAATTTTCTCTTTAAAAAAGAAACATTCCAACAAACAAATAAAATAGATCCCAGAATAAATAGATTTTTATCTGACATAAGGTTGAAAAATAATCCTGTTGTGTCACTTACTTGGTTGAAAATAAAAGGAACCTCTTTCTTCTCTCCTACTTTCATAGAGGATATGGGGAATGTTGCTGTCCCTAGAGTTTCATCCATGACATAATTGGCATCCATTAATGTGACCTGTAGAGATTAAAAAGTAGAACACAGGAATATAATTTCTCTTGGATCTTTGGATATTATATCGAAAATTTCCACCACACTTAAAAAATCAAAGTTCTCAAATGATATTTAATAGTCATTTGAGGGCCTCAATATTCAACTGGTTATAATTCTTTGTCTTTTCTTTCTGACGCATTTGCCACTAAGGCAGTCATTAACTTTTTCACTTTCCTGATTGACTTAATCATTATCATGTTTTCAAAAATGGAACCTTACCCCCCGCCCCCAGGGGAAATGCTATTTTGGAGTATGAGAAATAAATTAATGTAGAAAATCCATGTAACCATTTTGGGAAAGATCTATTTTAACTTATTTTCAGGTTAATTATTTTCAGTTAGAAACTTTACGTTAACAAAGTTCACTTATTTTAAAGTAGGAATCCATTGATGATATTGTTTTTCTGTTGTACTTGGACCCTCCTCTTTATAACAGAAAATATGTTTTCTCCAAAGCACACGAGGAGGATAAAAGATTCTTCCCAGCGCTACCTAACTCTTGCGTTACCACTGGGCACTCACATCACTTGATGTACACCACTTAGAGCCCAGTGTTCCAGGCTGCACAGCTGGACCCCAGCTACACCTGCCCAAGGAGAAAGACGGCATGAAAGGGACAAGCTCAAACACCAACTTCAACATGAATGAGGACCATCTAACGGTCCGCAAATGATTCACTGACCTCCAAAACATTTTCCTGGTTAGGATCCAAAATAAACTCGAAGGTCTCATTCCACACAGGGTTTATGTCATTATTGAAGTGTCTTGTTCTCTTCCTGCTGTCAGGGGTGGAGGAGATGAAAAGTTCCACGTACGGATCTGGAGTGTCAACTGTAGACAGTAAACACAAGTGAGGAGGAAGAAAAAATATGATCCATAATTCCTACTTCAGTTTTATTTTTTTAAAGATTTTATTTATTTATTTGAGAGAGAGAGAATGAGAGAGAGAGAGAGCACATGAGAGGGCGGAGGGTCAGAGGGAGAAGCAGACTCCCCGCCGAGCAGGGAGCCCGATGCGGGATTCGATTCCGGGACTCCAGGATCATGACCTGAGCCGAAGGCAGTCGCTTAACCAACTGAGCCACCCAGGCGCCCCCTAATTTGGTTTTATTAATATGTGTTGTCAGATTATTTTTAATGAATCTGCAGTAGCATATTTAAAATGTCCGAGACAACATACGCTATAACGGAAGAACATTACAGGTTAGATACTTCTTATGTATTATGTCCCTGCCCTTCGTAACAGCCCCGTGAGAAGGAATCTTTTATGAGATGATTTACTCAGAATTCCTCTATTCACTTAAAGAACATGATCAGCAACACCTCAGGGGAACTACTAAATGATGAGAACAATCTCACCCAGCTAACTACAGTATAACCTTCACCCCAGGACAATGATGGTGACAAGATCATGGGTTCAGGATGATGGTGCTTGTCTACAGTACAAAAATTATCCTAATTACTTTATTTGCCAAGCAAAATAATTAAAGTCGGTGTGAGATAACTATTGTTTGTAGTTATAGGGTTGCCTGGTATAGCTGTACAGGTTGTACACTGAACAACCCTTAGCGGGCTGGCATTTGTATTAGTGATCAACATATATTTCCGTATTTATTATAGCAGTATTCAATCAGATGGAAGTGGGTGTCTCAAGGAAGTGACAGCTTTTTCTCTTGTACATAAAGGCCTGCTGGAGTCAGGGCATGATGTGGGTGCCATTTTAAATAGAAAGAAGCAATGGCAAATAAAGGGGCTATTTAAGTTTCTTCCCATTATATATTCACATAGCAACAAGGCAACTGACACTAAGCAGTGGAAACACTCATCACTCCCTCCTTAGTGGTTCCATTGAGTCCTTCACCATCTTACAACATTGCACACACTGTATTTTATGGATGTAATTATACATTTATCTGTCTTTTCCTTACAAGACTCAACAACTTGAGGGCAGGGATCAACTCTTACTCATCTGTATCTCTTCAGAACCTAACAACTATCACAATACTTAAAAATCTCCTAACTTAAGGACTCAACTTTTCTCTTTAACACAACCTTTCCCATGCAATCATTGAAATTCATAACCATAAAAACCAACAGTTGAGTAATGACTGCTAGGATCTCTGTTAAGCGCTTTACACACATTAGTCTGGTTTAAATCTCCCAAAGGCACTACAAGGTTAAGTGCTCTGTTTCGGTGTTGAGGCAACAGGAAATGAGAGATGTTAAGCAATATGTCTAATATCATCCAGCTAGTAAGTCTCAGAGGAAGATCTGGCTGCAACAATCATTCTTTTAAGTGCTAAAGACGAGATCATAAGGTAGGCCTTGCTATCAAAAGAGGAGCTGGACTTAAGAGTTATGGGAAGGGGGGAAGGATAGAGGGAGGAAGGTAGGGGGCAGGGAGAGAGGGGGGTGAGAGAGTTAGGAATATGAGCGGTGGTGGGAGGGGAGAGGGAGAGAGAGAGAAGGTGGTGCTGAGGTCCACACAGAAACATATAAACATTGAAAACAAAGGAAAAGCAAAAATAATAGTTCTCAAATGCTTGCTTTTCAAAGAAACATTTTTTAAAAAATATACTTTGTCTTTCAACAATAGTTACGGTCATCAAACAATTTAACCAATGCCCTTCACTTAATTTTCAAGCACTGTTCATAGTTCTATGTGGTGATTACATTTTTTAAGTGTGCATTTTTATTGTAAAGTGGAAAGGTCTACACACGAGGTATATGCATTTGGAATTGTCTTTTATTTAATTTCCTCACTTGGACTTAATGCATCATTGGTCAAGGGCAGCTGAGTCTCAAAAGAGTACGATATAAATGCCTAGAGTTCTGGTTAAAAATGCAGACCCTTGACCCTCATCCCCTAAGACCTATGATCAGTAGATGAGCAAAGGGCCTAGGAATCTGCATTTTTAAACAAATATTCTAGCTGATACTGATGTAGGTCATCTTCTGTTCACACTTTCGATATCCTGCTTTAGAGAAAAGGAAATAGGCAGTTATTGGAATTTTATGTATTGTTTATTTTTACGGAGCTATAATTGGCATATATTGCGTGAGTATAAGGAATCCAATGTGTTGGTCTGATACACTTACATATTGCAATTTCTAACTCAATGCTTCTATCTTTCAATAGGACCATGGAAGACAAGCTAGAAAACAAAAAGACTGAGCAGGAAGCAAGGCAAGGGGAAATGGGCCAAAGAAGAGAAGGGCATGCTACCAGGTGACTCTTCGCACCTCCTCAACCTGGAGACATTCCTTTTCCTCAACCATATTTCTGCCATGGCGCCAGAGCTCAAGATGTCAAGTCAGAAATAAAATGACATATTTAGAACAGCAGGTGGTAGAAGATCATCAAGAAAAATATCTTTCCTCTTTTGAGTAAAAGTCAGCACATGATTTAAAGGAAAAGATTCAGTTGGGATTTCACATTAAATGTATAAAAATGTAACCCTTCTTCATCCCATAGGGCAGGTGCTTTCTCATGGGGCTAATGCTCTTTTCTAGCTGTTTCCCCCAAACATGAGAAAATCCAAAACCAAGCAAAAAAACCAATCTAGAAAACAAAAAGTGTCTGGGAGGAGGAGGCCTGCAAACGGTAAACATCACTCATTCATTCAACAAATATTTGAGTGCCTGCTCTCTGCCAGGAGCTACCTGTCAAGAAGCAGTTTGGCTTTCCGAGCAGCCCAACGCGAAACTGCAGATCTGAACGATGGAAGTGAGTCAGATGCTAACAGCCTAATTTTAGAGGCAAGAGTAAAGGGGAGGCAAGCAGATACACTATGCCAGTGACTAGTAACTCAGTCACTCAGATTATCACCCACAAATAAAGTCAAATCGTAGGCGGCAAAATTCCCTTTGAGGCTTGGTCTTCATTTGAATCTGAGGAGAGGAGGGGGAGGTTTTCTTGGGCCAAACAAGGAGAGAACAGAAAGTTAAGTTCCTTGGGAGAAGCCATGTGGGAAAAGGATGCAGCAAACCGAGTAGCGTCAGTCAGTCAGGGAGATAAGCATCTTCTAAGCCATTCTGGGTGCTCCGTCTGGATCATATACTTTAGCCAATTCTAACTCTGACAAAATGATGATGAAAAGAGAATACAAGATGCCAACACTACATTTCTGTATCAAAACATCGACCAACAGCCCTTTTTTTTTTTTGAGTAAAGCGATAGAAGTTAGATACAGAAAAAGCTCTCAAGAGTGAGAAGGGTCCCTACAGGGTTGCCATTGAGGGCCGTTAGGGTTGGTCTTTTATAGAAAGCTAACCAGGGAACTTAAATCCTTTTAACATCTCTAATGATATCACCATTGAGCAAGGTCTAGTCATAACACCTTCAATGGCTTACTTCCTTTTTAGGGTCTGGTTATTCTTGCTGGTCACAGGTGATTTCATAAAAAGATACCCACCCCACATGCCTAGGGCAGGTTTGTTCCCTTATCTCTGGTTTCCTCACACTGCCACATTTTTGGGATTTCTGTGAGCCTGAGCACCTAGCCCCCTACCTATCTCTCCCTACCTAGCCCCTGTCCCTTACTCATTCCTCCTCCTGGAATAGTAACCCTAACTGCCGTTAGGGAATGGGACGATGACCACTGAAATGGGGCGGCAGGCTGTGTGGCAGTTAGAATCTATCCAGGGGTCAGTCCAGGGGTCCGAGGTATGGCTCCAGGGGGTCATGATGGGCAGCAAACGGGTACATGCATCAGCACATGCAAAAGGATGAACATAAAACAAGTATGAGGCCCCAGATTATGGTCCCACCCCTTAGATAAGATCCCCAATTACCAGTGTTGTCAAATAGATCAGTGGATATCTTGATCGACAGACCTTTTTAAAAAGCAAATTAGAATCCTGTTCAATTCACTTTGGATTCTGCTTTTCACTTTTAAATGCAATCAATATTCTACAGCTCTTGTCAAGAGTGCTAGTTGTGTGAGCTTCTCTCCTTGCTTCATTAGCAAGAGACCTCAACGTTAAGTTGTCAAAGGGTGCTGGGCAGTGGAAAAGCACGGCCAGCTGCAAGCTCTGATACCGCAGTCGGCATCACGGCTGATCTCTGCAAGCCGAGAACCATCCGTAGCGGTGGCAGGATGTAGCATCCGCTGCAGGATGAACAGGAGTTTTAGGACACGAGTTTAAAATCAGATTACGATAATCACATAGCTCACTTTCTTTACATCATCTATAATCTTCACTGGCTTCAGAAAGGGAAAGCTGCAGGGAAGCTTTGAAAAGGGAGAGCAGGGCGCCTGGGTGGCTCAGTTGGTTAAGCGACTGCCTTCAGCTTAGGTCATGATCGTGGAGTCCCGGGATCGAGTCCCGCATCGGGCTCCCTGCTCGGCAGGGAGTCTGCTTCTCCCTCT